TGTCATGAGTTTCAACATCAAGAAGCGCAACTTTCTTCTGGCCAGTGTATATCTGCGGCTTGGCGACGAGTTAATTCAATCTTTGTGGCTTTTCTGGCCGCACATCATAAATTGAGTCATGCTATATCCAGCAACATGTGGCTGCCGATCATTTGAGCACCCCATCTTGGCAGCCGGTCATGGGTTGGTACGTCGTTCGGACCGGGTGGTTTTTCATCGACGACAATAAGATCATTGCCAAACACATGACCTTTCGTATTATGATGTATTATGTATTATGATGTATTATGTATGATTCTGACCCCGCAAGGGGTGGTTGATGGACACCCCTTAACCTCTGAGGGCTATCAATTTCCAGCCCCTGGTCCGGGTGTCCTGGTAAATATATGAAAAATAGAACACGACAACTTCTTCGGCCACCCCCAGGCGTTCTGTGTGAATCTCTGTTCGCCTCTTTCGTTGCTTTTTCCACGAAACCAAAGCCATCACCGCTCCGTCTCTCAGTCTGGAACCTTCACCTCCTCGTCCTCTCCTCGCGCTTCGGACCTGGGCGCTCGGTCGGCGCCGGTGGAGTTCGGGACGTTTGGGGGATGACCTGGGCCCAGCTCATCCAAGCACAACACGGTCGCGCCGAACGAAGCTGTGGGGATTGGAGAGGAACCTCTCTGGACCGTTGAAGCTGGGCGTTGAGAGCAGCACGCCTTGGCATCCGTCTCCTGGCCGAAGCGACCTATATGGATGCACCCTCCATGTACCGGCGTCGTACCGCCACGCGCAGTCACGCGCGGCGTTTTCGGGAGAAACCCAAGAAAAGGCACAGAAAAAAAGACCGTGGCAGGCAAAACAGCATGATGGCACGAAGAAAACGGATTCCGGGTGACAGGTCAACTCCTCCCGGTCCGGGTCCTTCGCTTGGATCTGCAGTCGATGGAAGTGAAACCTCGAAGAGTTGACTGCAGCGAGAGGTTGCCACGGCATGTCGTGCCCGGGTGAAAAGTAGAAACATGTCACAATCTAATAATATGCTCAAAAGATCTCAAAAGGCAGCCTTTAAAATCTTTTAGAGGCAAGTTTATATTGTATCTGGAATGTATCTGGATACATCTGGACTCCTAAAACCACCTGGAATCCAGTCAAACGTACACCTGGACTCCTAGAAATCCTCGAATCCCCTGCTGGATGGGGCATGTGAAGAGCTTGTGCCATTCAATAGTGAAGCTATGCTGCATATGATCATATGTGTCACTCAAAATGAGCAATACAAACATTCAGCTGACAAGTCCTAGTTGGTCCTTCCCAGCTTGCGCATGAAAAGTGATACACTGTATCACATCACTCAATTGGAATCCAGCTGATGACAAACTGGAAAGTGTTTCCCAGCAAGCATTTATAGTGGGATAGTGGGACAGCTCTCGCGTGTAGAGTTGCAAAAAGCAAGGTTTTTACTTACGCCATATTCGCTCTCACCCACGGGTAAACTTCATGAAGATGGTTTGTGCCTCACCAGCAAGCTGCACTCCATGCCGCCAACTCGTGGACTGAGCAAAACTCAACATCAACCACTCCAGGCCACCCCACTCAAGCGCAGGGCTTCCATATCGAAGCATCGGCACAAATCGATGCATCCAATCCACCACCTGGACGAGGAGGGCGGCGCTGGACGTGGGCGATTCGCCCCCACGTGCTTCGCTGGATATGGGTCGAGACGGGAAGCGCCTGGTGCACTGGGACGCCTCTTCTGGACGCCTGGAACCTCTTTGACCCGGTTCGGTGGTTTGCACGAAGAGCTCGCTAAGAGCGCTGACCCAGATCTCGCAAGAGTGCTCCGACCAAGCTGCGACCCGTCGCTTGTTCGCGTGTTCGACCCCTTTTTCGACTCCTTCTTTGTCATCCAAAGGTTGAAGGTCCCGCATTTCGAGTTCGTGAAACACCACGCAGGACTGGGGATCACCTCTCTGGGGATCTTAACAAGTTTAAAGCACCCTAACTATCTTGCTATTCTCTTGAAGGTTATATATAGGTTATACATGACTGGGGAGGAAGTCAAATCGATCCGAACCCATGGGCTGAAGTGAAGTACCTCGTTTTTACCACCGTGGCCGTGGCGACAGCTCGGTCGCGCGAGTTTCTATAGGCCCCGGAACCACTGGGTTGTCGCGGCACACCACGCGGATTGCCGTGATGCTCCTGGGACAAGTCTGCAAAAGCTGGAGGACATGGACTAACATACTGTGATACCCTTCTGTAGTTAAACCCTTCTTCCTCAACTTTGGGTGGCCTGCTGTTCACAAGCCGTTGAATAACGGTGTTCGATGTTTGGTGCAAAGCAGTCTTTCAGGCTCTCTTTGATCTCAGAGCAAAGTCTTAAGAATCTTAAGACTTGCTTAGACTTGTGAAGTGCAATGGGAACAAGCTTGAACTGTCTGCGGATCCAAATTGATGATGACACAATTGTGATAGGCTTTGGCGCGCTGGTCTCCATCAATATTGTCAATAACTATAAGCTTCACAATGACGGCAAAGCAAACATGGTACCTGAAGCTTCGAACTTCGTCCCTTTTCCAATGGGGAAGACGAACCATGCATCAGCAAGAAAGCTACTAAGTAATCACAAGTCCTTGTGTGAAGTTCAAGAGCCATATATATACCCTACGCACCCAAACCCTATATTTTGTAGGGGCTTGGGTTTTCCATCGATCCTACAAATTTATAGGGTTTGGGTGCCTATAGGGTACTTAAATTAAAAAACTATAACTATATATAAAACTGTGATAATTATACACAAATTCGCTCATCCCATCCTGTACCACAAGTCTCTGGTCTGTCGAGCCGGTCCCTCGAGTCCTCGGAACCCATAGAGTCCCCAGCATCAGCCGCTCCGCGCGCCGAGCCATGGCGCCCCGCGTTCCACGCCCGCAGCGTGGAAGCTCCGGTGTGTGTTTGCTTGCGACGTGTACGAAAGACGATCGATACGATCGCGCAAGTGATGCGTTTGCCCCCTTCACCATGGATTTTGCGTAGTCAAGCATGTCAAGCCCCAAGCCACACAATGAAGAGGCCACTTCTGATGATTCATGTGAATACGTGTCCAAGAGGGCGCTGAACTGGATGATATTGTCACCAACCCTTATCATGGCCACGAATTCATGGACCTGGCTTCTTCACGGATGTAGCACCGGTGGCCTCTCGTCTCTCTTATGATTGCATTCTCGGCTCCTCTATCATCTTGGAGGTCTCCTCTCTCATGGCTTCGATGTGAGAGATGTGCTGCAAAGAAGGCCCGCACAGCTGCGGCTTGTCGTGTCGTGTAAACACACATACAGCAGCTTTAGCTGCTCTACCAGCTTCTTCAAAGTGATCTTTGCCAATTTTCAATGGCTCTTTTTTAGGCCAATCAGTGAAATCAACTCAGGGTTTTGAGCCAGGTCACTTAAAAGAACTAGTATATCTCATATCTATAGTATTATACTTGTCTATCGTTGTATATTGTATACTACATTTACAGTACAAACAAACACAAACAAAAATACATTCTGTCCTCGCACTTTTCTTGACTTGTCAGGACATCGGCCAGCAAATGTGTTCATCTTTCGAAGACTCAGAGGTTTCCACCAGCACGATCCACCTGGGCCATGCAGTGGTGTTGGTGGTTCTCCGAGAACAAAGGACACGGCCGACGGCAGAGTCATGAACGCCTCGGAAAGCACAGCACTTAGGAGTTAGGACACTAGTTGGGCCAAGGTACTTTCAGTTGAGCACGTTTAGGATACAAGGACAGAATGACAAGCCGCACAGTTGCACAGTAACATGCAGCGTTTTTGAAGTGGCGCTCAAGTAGGAACATGAACTCGGAAAACACTCCAAGGACCACTAATTAGTATCCTACCCCCGGAAGGCTCTACCTCAACCGAGCTTTCCTGATTCCCTGTATATCTGCATCATCGGATCCAATAGCCTTTCCCGACACCCACACCTATCGTCCCGCATGAGGCTCCCCCACATCCTTGCACGCTCAAGATGGCTCAAAGAGGTCGGTCAAGTGGCCCTGGCGGCCCTGGCGACAGGACATGTTCACCGCAGCGGCCCTGGCATACGATTCCCTGCCGGTGTGGCCGGTCAAGGACATGCATGAGCATAATCACACGACTCATAGAGTGAGAACATCTTGCAAGTGGAATTGGAACATATCGGGAGACACCAACTCCAACAAGTGAGGCTTCGTCGCACCACCCACACACACAAACATGGCCAAATTGGTTGAAGAATGCCTGTGCACTTGAAACAACAAGACCAAGTAAAACACCACACTGAGCTGGGGTGAGCTTGCCTTGCAACTTGCAACTACGAAGAGAAACCAACATAATGCATTGAATTGGCCAGCTACGAAGAGAAACCAATACATGCTAATACAACTACAAGAAATACAAGGACAACCTAAGAGTATCATAGAGTCTGCTATTCGAGGCGACCTTTTAGCTTTAATGGGCCAGCTCTCCAATACACCAAGCACCTTTGGTCTGCACCTTATCACTTTTCACGAAACACATAGTTTCTTGCACGACTTCAAACTCTGGAAGCAAAACGCTCTGACGATTCAGGGGTTGTTGATCAATCTGCGCTCTTCATTGCCAACACCATCTGCAACGAGTGAAGAACATTCGAGAAACCAGACACCTACCAAGTCAAAGAGGGTAGTTAAACCACCAAAACTGCATGAAAGAACTTGTACAATCTAGTAATCATGGTAACACAGCACCATGTTTCACAAATGTAAAAACCATGTAAAAAAAAAACCGTTAAAAACCTGAGTTTGGCCTTCTTTCAATCAACCCAGCAAGCCCAGGATTTCCAACAGACTCCTCCCGCCGGCAGTCCTCACATCTGCCACCGCTGGAACGTCTGTCGGAACGGGCAGCTCGAATCGAACCCGTCGGACGAGCACCAGCAGTTGCCCTAAGTTCAACATACATGACACACACACACGTCGTAAATGGTCTATCAGCCTGGCAAAGGAACAACTTAGGACTTCGTTTAGAAAAAAACAAAAACGTGATGCAACGAACTCGAGAACATTCATATCAAAGCATCTCGATCCTCTTGCTAGACTCACGAGCCATGCTGGTGTTTTCACACCGGGCTTGAACCCTTGACATGACTGGGCAGTATGACTCCGATATCATCTATCTCCAAGCAAGAATTGATCTGGCGATGGTGCACTCCGACCAAGCTTCGTCCTCCCCCCACAAAGGATCGGTCCTCTCCGGCCGGTGCCGTTTTCAGCTGTCGCTTTCAGATTCTGAACCGACCCGGAGTCTCGGTGCCTTTCAGTCGCGCGCTTCTTCTTCGCTGACGGGGGAATGGCAGCGCAGGGATGTTGGGCACGGAACACACTCACCTGTTTGCAGCATCTTTCAGCACGTTCGCCGGTTTTTGTGCCCACTGGCACGAGATGCCTGGCTTTTCTCTACAGTAGAATGCGAACGAGCTGCTGATCAGCTTATGACTTCGTTGGACACTTTGGTGACAGTTTTCTTTTCAAGTCGCACTGCGCACTGCACAAAGGACCTGTACAGCGTCTGCAAAAGCCGCTATGGGCGCTGCACGCCGGGGCCAGGATACAGTACGTGGCTCCTGCCCCAGCCGCCGCACCCAGAAAGCTTGTCCCTTCGTGACGGAACAAAGGCTCATTGACCACTGCATGAGGCTGTGAGGTGATCTTCAAATGCCACCCTTGCGGCACGAAGCCTGAACTTCAGGCTCACCTCTTCCGCCTTCAAGCTGTGGTGCCTCTAAATGGGGCAGCCTCCAAAAACTGCACTATTCAATTGCTTCGCCATCCCAGGTAAGGCTCGGTGGGCTTTCTTGGGGGGTTGGAGGTCCTCGGGAGGCCACAGCAGTGGGAGGGAGTTTTCTGCGCAGGTCGCTGACGAGAGGTCAGAGGAGGTGGCAGTGCACCCGACAGAATGTGGCACATCTCCTGAAGCTTCTCAGGAACCTCTTCGGCGAGTTTCCAAGAGTCACGGCCAGACTTATCCTCCAATGGTGCAAGAAGAGGAGCTACAAAAAATCACAAACATCGGTGTCATTAAGGATTAAGGAAGCCGGCCAAATCACATGGTAATGGGATGTTATGGGTTGCCCTTGTTTGCCACAGGTATCATAAACACTGACATCCAAAAATGAATTCAAAAGAACTGCAAACATTGGGCAGGATGATTTGAATAACCGTACAACCAGGGCAGGTTTATCCGACTCGGTCCTTCTGTTCTGGATCGGCACCATTTGCGACCAAAAGGCGGACCATGTCCAAATCACCGCCCTTGATGGCGAAGTGAAGCGGTGTCCAGCCTTCCTTTTTCGCACCCTTGTTGACCTCCACCCTCTTCGCAAGAAGCAATTCAGCCACCTGCCATGCAAAAGCTTGTCGGATATCCTGATGCTTTGATGTGTTGTGTCACACTTGTTCACAAATGGCTTTCTCGGATGAATGTTATATAACAAATGTGTGCAGGAAGAGATGGCTTGCGTTCCTCAGCATTCCTGCTTTAAATCTCAAACACTGGGTCAGATTGTTTTAATGCAATTGAAATCAGTTATAAATCATTTCAATCCATGTGGGTCAATTCCGCATACATCATGTCGGGTGTAATCATCTCACTGGCGCAAACCCCACTCCCGCCACTCCCGCCTCTGGATGCCTGTTCTGCACTGAAACTGAAAGCGGAGTAGTCTCATGTCCGGGTGTCTTGTTTGCGTCTGCTTTCTCCTCCAAGAGCTTCTCCACGATCCCAGAATGCCCATTGGATGAAGCAATGTAGAGCGGGGTCGCATTACTTGCAAGAGCTTGCTCAACATCTGCACGCTTCTCCAACAACTGCCCCACAATTTCCGTGTGTCCCTTCCTGAGTTCTTTCATACTCTGTTATAAGGCTCAGAGGACTGTTCCACAAAAAAGGAAAACCTGTTCCCTCAAAGCAAGACTCTGGCAGGCGATGAATAGAGGTGTAGCTCCATTCTTGTTCCGATGGTTGACCTCAGCCCCTTTTCCTAGCAAGTGAGGCACCAGGCTGGTGTGGCCATTTTGACAAGCGATATACAAGGGGTTCGTCTCGTCGTGCTTTGGCTGGTTGACCTTCGATCCATTCTCGAGGAGCTCAATCACAACCTTTTCATGGCCACCTGTGGCACAGGTCAACCAACCCGGCAAATCCACGCGAAACGGGCTTCAAACATGAAGTTTATGGCCGAATTGCCATTCATGCACTTCCATGAAATAACATGAATCAATGCGGAATCACCATGTATAACCGGACTGATGACTAGAAAAGCCGTCAGGAAGGAATTTGGCCATTGTACTTATAGGCAAAACATCATCGAATACCACCCCCTATCCTGCACAAAGAATTCCAAACACTTTGCTACTTTCACCTGATCATCCTGCAATGGAACAGAAACACATCTGGACACATTCACCTTCCAGGAGGGTCCATACTATGGCCAAAACCACAAAGGATCAAAGGACGATAAGGCTCAACCAGGCTGAACCTCAAAACCATCTTAACCTCAAAACCATTTGAAACCCCGTGGCCTCACTGTGGCATCTACCTCACCATGATGCCCACCCCTCATCCACTCGTCCTCCACGAAAGGTGAAAAATCCATCCGCCTTGGCAAGCAATGAACAAGGGCGTCTCCAAGGTGTCCGTCAGGACCAGATCCACACCTCAGATCCGCGGCACGCTGCGCCCGGGACATTTGTCACGGGTTCTGTGCCCGATGAGTCTCACCTCCTACCAGGCTGTCGAACTCCAACAACATGACCCATCCGGACGGACGGCCTCTAGCAGGGAAAGCCAACTGGTATGGATCTGTGCTTTGACCCCCTCCTATTTTAAGGAACATCACCAGGTATATTCAAGAATTGCGCCATGAATCTTCATGCCATTGCATATGTTTTTCTCACTTCTAGCAACCCTTGCAGCTTTGGTATATACAAACACCATGCACGCAAACACGGGGCATGATGCCCAATAATATATCGTGAACAAATTTGGAACATGACGGTTGCCACCGTTGTCCACCGGAATGTTCATTAGTTAGGCCAGTGTAAGGGCAGGGGGTATGCACAAACTTCATCATGCCCAAGGGACTGGCACGGAGTGCCAAGAGATGGGTCACCACGTTGGCATGTCCATTTTGTGATGCCAAATACAAAGCTGAAGCACCGCCTTCCTTCTGGTGGTCGATCACCTACAATTCAGGAAATCACTTGGATATCTTGGATTATGTTTGTATATGATGCAAAACTAGTCAAGCTGCTAATCAAAGGGCATCTCTGTCTGCAAACTGAACATCGCATTTTCGGAACCATCATCTCTCAATCAGCAAGGTTTTGAGCAAACAGTTGATCATCTTGTCCTGTTTGGACCTCTCATCACCAGTGTCAGCTGTGTTTTCATGCGCCATGCTGCGCCTGTGCCAATTGGGTCTGCGAGAGAGCTTCCAACTCCTTCGTGCAAACCGATATGGAATCAACACGTGCAGCACCGCATGTAGTCCACGGTGCGGTTCGCGGTATTCTGTGGCAATTTGTGCCCTGAAACACGCTGTGTATCATGTATTAATCGAAGCCTGTTGAAGTGATTCGACAAACCAAATCATCCAAATCCAAGGGATGCACACGGATGTGCGTGCGCGCACACACACACATGTGCTGGTCAATCATCAGGGCTACATGGATGGCATGGCTCCAAAAGGATGACCATATTCACAAATAGGTGGTGAACTCATGTGAACTCCACTTCCCTGATTGTTCCAGGGAGTGTCCATGAACGAATGCGCACTACAGTTACAAGTACTGTACGTATCGATGTATAATTTTATGGAAGGAGAAACCTTGCGTACTGCGTAATTGAGAATAGTTTGTGCTTGGTCTCCCTGTCCTTCGTCAAGAAACACACCACCTCCATGTGGCCATTCTGGGACGACACGAGCAGGGGCGTAGATCTGTCTTTGGTTTTCAAGACCAGCTGTTGCAGGGCATCAAGAGCCGCAGGCCTGACAGGAGAGGATTTCAAAAAACCCTAACCTCGTGCCTTAAGAGATCAATTATGATCCATTTACCGGCAAATCATTCCCTGCAAGTCCGAAGTGCAAGTTAAACGAGTACTTATCGAAAAGAACAAGTTTTACGAGTACCTGTTGTTTGTCGGAACCCAAGCCCTTTTATCCAAGCGAGTTCAACATCACCACTAACGGCACATAGAACCTGCAAAAATGCACCCAATCTGTTAATTCATGCAAACAAAACAACTGTTAAAAACATTTTAAAGATCCTGGTCACGATTTCCGAATACATTGCAAACATATTGCAAACATTAAGGGGACTAAGGACCTGTTACGCTCCAGTTGCGGTTTTGGAAGATCATTTGCAGTAGTTTTAGAAGTCTCCTGGAGGGCTTTGTTACGGAACTGTTACGCTCCTGTTACGCTAAATATTTGCCCAACAATTCACACCTCTTTGCTCTTAATGTCGAATAATTAGCCTCAAAACCACCAAGAAAACCTGGAATAATATCACTCCAAATCGCCTTTGATTCCCTTCCAAACCACCTGACGAGATCCTGAATACTATTGTTGGCTTTAACATGCTTTAACGGAACTTTAGTGGGACCAAATAAAACAAGGTTCTAATAAAGTAAATGGTGGTCATTGTCTCCAATTCTATATGAACAAGTTTAACGTTTATCGGGCATCATCAGTAAAGGCTTCTGCCTTCTTGCGGAACGGCGCCCTCCTTTCAGCGGAAGCATTGAGTGGCGACCTACCTTGGCTGGCGACGTTTCGACTGCCGACCTGCTACCGGAGAGCTAGCAGCTATTCGGTGTTTCAGCGTTCCTGGCGCCTTGAGGCGCCCCGAGAATCCCTTCAACACAAGCATGCGTCAAAGCATCTTAAAGCAGTGTTTTGCATAATTTTCAGGCGCCAATCGGTGGCGGAACTTTCGGGGATTTGGGCAGAACTTTCCAGACTCTGTTTGCGCAGCTTCTGCATGCTCCTGCTGCATATTTGTAGGCAAAATTCTGCTCCTTGTCAGAGTTGAACGGTGCAGTGTGGTTACATCTAACGATCTATGAAAACCAGGGTGCATCTCATTTTCACTGATTAATGTCGAGTGGGCATGTCTCCTGACATCGCAATTTTGTATCAATCGGGACCTTGACTGGCAGTTCGTCTTTTTGCTAGCAGCCTTCCTTCTTCTCCAATTGCAAACGCTTTTGCGGAACTCAACATCGGCAAAACAGTTCGGCCACGCTGAACCAGCTCAGAACAAAAACGCGTGCTACAATGTCTGGAATCATGTGGGACATTGAAGCAAATACATGCAACATCTCGCCAAATACTCTCAATTAATCGCACCGTGAGATGAGATTCTACACACACACATTACACGCTCGACCTGCCTCAGTTTCTTGATATGCTTCAAGAGATACTGCATGACTCCCAAGTGACCATTTTGAGCAGCAATGAAGAAAGCTGTGGCCCCACCAGCACCCGTTGCTTCAATGTCCGCCTTTTGCTTGCACAAGAACTTCACCATTGCCTTGTGCCCATTTTGCGCAGCAACGTAGGCAGGGCTTGTTCCATTCTCCAAAGAGAGCTGCACATCAGCCGTCCATTCAACCAACAACTTGGCCACATCCAAATGGCCATTTTGAGCTGACACAAAAAGAGGAGTTGCAAGGGTGGACATCGCTTTGTTGACGAGAGCTCCATAGGACAAAAGGATGCTGGCCGAGCTCTGGTTGCCATTCTGCGACGCGATCAGAAGCGGCGTCGCTCCGTCATTGGCTGCTACGTTGGGTTCGGCCCGCGCATCGAGAAGCAACTTGAGCGACTTATCGCAACCCTTCTGAGCCGCAATGTAGACAGGCGATGCGCCTCCTGCCGTCCTTTGTTCTAGACTTGCCTTCCAGGAAAGAAGCAGCTGAACAATGTCAGCATGATTGTTCCTCAGAAACAACACAGGGTTAAGTTGCTTAGTGAAGGTCTCGGTTGATTGAACAAACACTTACTGAAGGTCAAAACTTGTCGTTGAGGCCAAGTTGCTGGGCCGCAATGAACAGCGCAGCTGCACCGGTTCGGTTAGGAATGTCGAAGGAGCTTCCAGCGATGAGAAGCATCTCCACGACTCCATAGTGACCCATTTGGGAGGCTATGAAAAGGGGTGTAGCTCCATCAGTCGTCCGAGCATCCAAGTTAGCCTTCGATTCCAGTAGGAATGAGACAAGTTCTGTATGCCCGTTTTGGGCGGCAACGTACATTGGAGTTGCTTCTGTGTTCAATGCCTTGTCCACCTCGGCTTTGTATAACACCAAGAATTTGGCCGCGTTTAGCCAACCATGTTGCGCAACAATGAAGAGTGGAGTGGCACCGCCATTGTCCTTGGTGCCAACAGCTGCGCAGGTTTGTTGAGGGGGCCCGCCTTTTTCAAATGGTGCTTGCTGCACGATTGGGAACCAAAAGAATGGACCACTCAAATAGCCCATCCACACACACCCATATATTGGGAGTGTGGCTACAGTACAACGCTCCAAGAAAACAGTATGTTACTGATGGGAGACTGGATGTTAGCAACATGGACCTATTGTTAACAACCCCCATGGTATAACTATATGACTCTTTCTCCAAAACACTATTGGAATCCAGAACCACCTGAAACCACCATAAGTGTTCGATCTGCGATCGTCCCTGGTTCTTTGGTGCTGTAGCCTTCCATCAACAATAGGGCCGCAGTTTTTGATATCTAAACAACTCGGGTTTCGTCCCACGAAATGCGCCTGGCGGCTGTCCATCATATCACAATCTCTGTTTGCTGAACACCAATCCACAACACATTGCAACAAAATGGATTTGAGATGGGGTGGACATCGCTTGAAACTACAGCCGACTGTGCTTAACTTCAGAAAAGGAAACCATCCAAAGACCCCTTCATAGGACAAATAGTGACAAATACATCTATATATACAATGAACACTCCTTGGTTGAGGATTTTGAGGGATTATCATGCGCATTCATGTGCTTTGACATAATCAACTCACTTTGGTCCAGCGTCTGCCTGGTTAAAGTCGGCGCATCCCAATTCCAAGATCTCCAGCTTTGGCAGGTCACCGTTCCGACTGGCCTTAAAGGCTGCGGTCTCGCCTCGATCATTTGTCACATTCGGATCTTGAAAGTTCTGCAAGTGACCTGACGCCGGTGTGGCTCTGATGCACCAGCACCGAAGGGGTGGAGCATACCACGGTTGGTTCGCATGGATCGGAACATGTAGCTTTAGCTGGGGGGGAACATGTTCGCATTTTTGCTTAGGAACGAAAATTCGTATCCTGCATCACGCGGCGTGCTGGGAGAGGAATGGGGGTTGGAACACACATGGTTTTATATGATGGTATTCACATATCGCCTGTGTCTGACTATATTTGCCACTATCATATCACCTGCGTCACCAGGACCTGAAAGGCAAACAAACGACTCCTCTCAACAGTTTAATGTTGCGGCTGTGAAATTGTTGATAGATGTTGCTATCATATGCAACAGTTGGTTGCAACTTTAGAATCTGTTGTACAATTTGTATGTGAGGTACACTAATTTGGAATAATTTGGACACCTTGAGTAATGTACAGTTTCAAGGGGTCACAAAATCTATAAAACCAACAACAATGCTTGCAAGTTGTAAGAAAGACACAACTAAACAATTTGCAAGAGGGTCCCAAATAGAGTGATTGCAAACAATATGTAATGTGTTCATTCTGTTCATTCACTTCATGCTGCCTTCATCTCTGAGCTTTGTGTTGATCATGCACATTACACAGTTTATGGTATATATATATGTTCACTCGATTTTTGTCACCTTGAAGTTGTACATTTTTGGGGTGTGAATTGTTCAGGGGTCCAAGCTACATTGATTGAAGCAATGTGTAAAGCTTCACAAGGGGCGACAAATATGTCCAAAGATGCTTGCAAGTCAATCATGGTTCATAAATATGCAATGTGCAAGAGGGTTTAGAAATAGAGTGACTACAGCTACTTCTCTTGTCTATTCACCCACTTCATGCTGCTTTGACCGCTATAAAAAAATTTTATTGTGCATGGCCATTCTATTTTTGGAGCCCCTTGAACATGTACAATTTCAAGGGGTCGAAAAATAACATCCAACAATGCTTGCAAACTGCAGGTAAGACATAAATAAACAATCTATCAGAAGGTAAAAAAATAGACTGGTTAAAAGGATAGAGAATTTTTTTAGTCATATTCGTTCGCTCTCTCTCTCTCTCTCTCGCGCTCACTCTCTCTCTGAGAGCCACTGATCCGGGCGGTTGTCGTCGCGAAGCGACCCAAATACTAATACGTGTATACTGTAGGGTGCAGTGGTAAGGCATCGTGAACAAGCGATAGTTCCCTTTGAAGTTTTCAGCAGTCCTGCCTCGTATCAATTGATCAGCCTCGGCGCCTTCCTGCCCTGCCAGCTTCAAGAAGTCCCTCGTCTGCTCCTCTGTCTCTAGGTTTTGCGTGGCAAAGTTTCCAAGGGTGATTGTCACACGCCCTGGCTTGCCCAAAGCTTCCCACGAACCACCCTGCAAGACCTTCTCTCCTTGTTGACGCACCAAACAGTCGGCAAACAACATGTCATGTGATGGCTACAAGGGCTGGTTTCTTACAAAATGTTTGGCTGACCAGTACAAATTCACTCTATAAAATTTTTGTTGCTTGGTAATATTCCTGCAGAGTCACTATTATTTGGTTGTAGCCGGGCATTTTGTAGTCAAAGGGGTTGGGGCCCGAAGATAGAGAAAGTTGACGTCGGGTCCTTTCATTCTAAACCATTTGTGGCCGAAACGAAACCCAGCCTGAGAAGCTACAAAACAAAAGCCAGCGTTTCTTGTCCACGAGCACGTTGTTGGCCAAAGGCAGCATGCAGCATCGCACACGGCGTGCTTCCGTGCACCCCTACACACCACCTACTTTCGAGTGTGCTTTCTCAATCTTTCTCAGGCCACCCCCCCGAACCCCCCTTCTTACTCAGCTGGCGCCTTGCCAGGTATAGATACCCAGGGTAGCTACAATTCAGTTACCAGGTATAGTACTTCAAGTTCCCTTTCCGTCAACCGCTCGATAACCTTTACCCACGCACAGCAATCCACAGCTTTGAAGTCTCATTCGTGCTTTGAACTTATATGTGTGTAAGAGGTGTAGCAACATAGCATTTATCTACACCTGGCAAGGCACCAGCTACACCTTACCATTCAGATGATGCAAATGATGCAAATTGCATTTCTTGCATCACCACCCTCTCAAAAATCACAAAAACTCAACCTCAAAAACCTTACCCAATTTCGAGTTTACGTGGTACTTTCTCGGGCCAACCCCCGCAGACCCCCTTCTTACTCACTTCGTTCGCCAAACACAACTCAGCTGGCGCCTTCTACGAAGGCTGGCTTTCGTAACAAATCAAACCAAACAAACAACCAAACCATCCAACCAAACAAATAAACAACAGAACTGGGATTGCCTCTTTATAAAATGCCTGGGCAGGATTTCATATCACCAGATGTCAATAAAATCAGGGATTCTCGAAACTCTGTGGGTAGGATGAGGCAGGGGAAAGGTTTGGAGGATTGCAGGCAGGAATCCTTTTATAAAATGCCTGGGGCAGGATTGCAAAGGGGGGGCCTCTGTATAAAATTCTTGGGACAAGCGCCGCATCACCAGATTTCTGTAAAGTCAGGGATTCCAAGAAGTCTCTGGTTAGGAAGGGGCAGGGGGAAAGGGTTTGCTGGAGGATTGCTAGAGTATAAAATGCGTGGGTCAGGTTGCAAAGGGGTGGCCTCTTTATAAAATGCCTGGGAAAGACGTATCACCAGATTTCACTAAAAAATCAGGGATTCTCATGGATTCTCGAAACTCTGAGGGTAGGATGGGGCAGGGGAAAGGTTTGGAGGATTGCAGGCAGAAATCCTGTTATAAAATGCCTGGGGGAGGTTGCCAAAGGGGTTGCCTCGTTATAAAATGCCTGGGACCAGTGTCGCATCACCAGATTTCTATAACGACAGGGATTCCAGGAAATCTGGTTAGGAAGGGGCGTGGGGAAAGGTTTTGCTGGAGGATTGTAGGAGAGAACTCTCTCTATAAAATGCCTGTGGCAGGTTGCAAAGGGGTTGCCTCTTTATAAAATGCCTGGGACCAGTGTCGCGTCACCAGATTTCTGCAAAGTCAGGGATTCCAGCAAGTCTGTGGGTAGTGTGGGTAGATGAGGCAGGGATTGGCAAAGGACAGGTTTTTTTCTGGAGGATTGCAAGCATGACTTTTTTCTCTAGAATGTCTGGGGCAGGTTGCAAAAGCTGGCGCGATTGCTGGGGATGTTCCTGGAGATGGTGATTGTGGAGCTTGATCTTTGCTCTCCCTGAAATCAGCTGGTCTATGATTTGGAAAAGAAGATTAATATAAACGTATATATAAAAATGCATATAAATGCCAAACAAATCATGATAGCAAAACAACATAATGTTTTATAGCTTTTTTTTTCGAAGGCATCGAAAGCCTTACAAAATGACAGGCTTTCTCACAAAATGCATCTGTTACAAAATGGATGGCGACAACGTTGATACATAACGACATTTCCACCACAAAATTCTTACAAAGTTTGGGGCCTAAACGTCATTTCCCATTGGCTCTTACAGAATGGTTGGCCTAAACGCCTTTCCTTTTGTTTTAAAATTAAAAAAAACTACACACTCGCTGTTATAAGGGCCTTAAGGTCACCCATTCTGTAAAAGACATCTTGACGTCGATCTATGAATATATTTCACCGTCAGCATGGCCCGAGACTCCATCAATCACTCGAATTGTGAAATAGGACACTGATTGACCTTGCAGTTGGTAGTATTCCCGCAAATGCTGCCTCACGCAATGGACAAAGTCTTGCTGAAGATTCAATTCAGAGATGGGAAGCGCCATCTCTTCTCCGCTCAAGCTCGCAAGCGCCACAAAACCGAGAAGAGACTGCCACTGTGCTCTTTCTTCTGTCATCTCAGGGACCAAGTCTATGGGCGCATTGCCTCCGGCGTCTCTGATGTCAATCCTGGCCTTCTCCTGGACCAAAAGGCTCGCATCTTCAAAGCGTCCGGCAGCAGCATGGCGGTGCAGGGCCGTTTGGCCGTTCTCATCTGCAGAATTGATGACAACGTCCGGGACAGAATTGATGACACTGTCAGGGATGACAATGTCAGGAGTCGAGTCTTCTGCGCTCAGGCTATGATGCGCTATGATGTCAGGGGTCGCACACATGGATGGCACGTCCAGTACTGCACCGCACTGAAGACGCGCCACATGCGTCATGGCTTCGCCGAAACGTATCCGCTTCTCACGTGCCAAACGAAGTACCCGG